GCAAACCCTTTGCCTCAATTACTAATTTTTGTAATCCTATTCATTTCAAGGGAAGAAATTATTCTGGCAGGTCTCAGGGGATGCCCCTAGTTACAACGAGGGAACTCGTGTTAGATGAGTAGGTTCACTTACATACCTAATTCATGCAGCACATTTTAAAATATGTAATATCTTTATCAATTTGTGCTACATACAGACAGCCATCTAGAGATGTACAAGAGCTAAACAAAATCTAGCTTTTAGGCTCAGGATTTCATTCCCTTTCTGAGCATAGGCATAAGCAATACAGCTACACAATATATGAGTAAGACCTTGAGTGCTGCTCTAGGATGTGTTTCATCCTTCACATTATTGGTAGACTGCTTTTTTTAAATCTTAAAAAAAAAAAAGTTGTAGCTTTTTCTTAAATACAGATATGAATTAATGGTGTTATAATAAAGAAGCGCACATTTTGGCAAAATTGAAAATAGGATGAAGCATTTATGCTGTAATACAACACAAATGGAAAATCACTTCATTATAGAAATATTCCATAAATTACATGCAAAAATCAGTGTGTAACTATATCTTAGGAATCAAATTAATCTCTTCTATAACTCCAGACCAGGTCTGAATTTAATTCTCTTTCTTTTCAACAAAATAACAGACAAACATATTTGTATATGAAATCATACACAATTAAATTAATGGACATACAATCAGGCCACCGCTGCTTTCTGACAAATGACAAAGTAACAAAAAAAGTTATTAAAATACATGAGGTTTTAAAGAATTTTTTTAAAATATTTTGATTCTTAGTAACACATACAAAATCTCACTCTCAGAATTTACTCTCTTGTCAAATCAAGGCATAGACAAATGCAAATAAAACCAATCCAGTTAATTAAAGCAAAAGATCTCGGATTACCTGCAAATGCCAGTAAGGTACACCCTGTCTTTAATCAGGTCAGACGCTTGTAGAGTAAAAATATTCCTGAGAGCTCTCCCAGCACAGGAAGAACTTTCTCCATAAATCTGAATGAAAAGAGAAATTGAAAACTGTGTTCTGTAGTAAATTGCCTTGCCACTGTCTGCTCCCTCCCTTGGAGCAATACCTTCTCCTCAGCTAAACGACGAGCAAGCAAAGCCTCCCGACTTCTGCCATACCCAGTTGTATCATGGGTTGCAGGTGCCCCCATGAGCTGGACGACTTTGACATTTGCTGCCTTACAAAGGCAGAGGTTTTGCTATCTGTCAGTTTTACCTCTGAACAACAGACAAGGTCAAATGAAAACAAACATTCATCTAGCAAAGCAAAAAGACTGTATTAACCATTGCAAAACCACACAAGTACAGTTAAAATTAAATGTTATTCCATATGTATTTGAGTTAAATAATTTAATACAAGCCTAACGCACATTGAAAGACCACTTCATAGTTTTTTCTTTTTGTGCAGAAACTTTGGCGGTATCCTATGATAGCTACAGATCAGTTCATCTGTACCTTGCCAGGAGGATGTGGTCTTTCAGAATGGACACACCCCTCACTTCCCCCACACCCGATTTCAACCTTACACCTCAAGGCTGCAGATCTGTCCATCAAAACAGGACCCAGCTCCATCTTCCATAAAACCATGTTCTACGTGCATTCTATCTACCACTCCTTACTGACGAATTTATCTCAGGTTTCTGTTGTGATGTTTTCCCATCATCCCAGCAAAACACATCAGTAACACAAGTAACCAGCTTGAAAGAAAAACAGTGCTGCGGTTTCACATTATTTCTGTTGTTGTTTCCTATATTTAGGAATCTTTCAAGGAATATAAAATAGTCCTGAAACAGTAAAGTCTTGTGAGATGCAAAAACAGACCTCTCAAATACTGCAAAAGTAAGCTAAATGGTGGCAATCATTTAAATGGCTAGGAAGTGAGTACACGTCGGAATTCACAATTCAGTTTGCAAATTCAGTAATAGAAGTAGACAATTTCTAACACATACAGATTATAACTTGTTAAATGGATTTAACTGAAGGCCACATTCACAAGTGTCTTCAAAGCTATGATTAAGAGGTTGAACCAAAGCAAAAAATTTCCTTATATGTTGTTTGATGAGATGGAATTAAAAGCTTGACAAGTACCTTGTGTGAAGGAGTTTCCAAGTAGGGATTTGAAATTCTTCTGGACAGCGTCTGTAAGACAATTTGATAGAGCTTTAGTTTTGTTCTGGTTTTTGTATGGAAAAAAGGTAGCAGCAATCTAGGTCTTTTAGTTATTGAAATGTAAATTTAAAAAAAATATCAAATCATTTGAGTGATCTAACAGAAGTCTCAAAAAAATTTTTTTTTTTTCACTTCAGGAAAAGGTTTTGGTAAACTCAGTTCTGTGTTGTTTACTACATTTATTCTGGATCTGGGAAAGAAGATGAGCAGTGAGGTGGCAAAGTCTGCAAATAACACAAAATCATTTGGGTCAGGAAAGACCAGAAATGAAGAATTTCAAGATAAACCTAAAAAAAGCTAGGTGTAAAGACACTATCATGATGAGCTCAACATTAAAACCAGCATGTACTAGGTGGACAAAATGTAATTACACATGCTTTAATACTTCTTAAAGCAAACTTTATTCATTCAGTAAAGACGCTTCAGGGTCACAGAACACTTCTCAAGGAAGACCACTCTTCTAAATTAAATTCTTAACTGTAGTTAAAAAAAAATAGGATATATGAGGAATAAAATGGTGACCAGCAGGGAGGTAACATTGCTTTAATATAGATCAGTATTATCTCTGCCATGCCACATGCTGCACTGGTAACAGTATCTCAAAAAATGGATGTTGCAATGTTAGAGGGGGTTCAGACAATAATAGTAGTAGGAATAATAAAGGATTTGGATAAATTTAAATATGAGAAGAGACAGAAAAGACTGTGACTATTTACCTTACAAAGGAGGGATTACAGGAGACCTAATGCAATTATACAAAATAATGAAACAGCACAGAGAAGACAGACTTTCTGTGCTGTGTTTTATGTAAAATGAGAATAACCGATCACGCAATGAAATTAGAGAGGATTCATATTTGAGGAGACAGAAAGGAAAATGACACATAACTCTTCATAGCAGGGAAATGCAAATGCCAAAACCTTAGAGCTAATCAATAAATATTGGGGATTTAAAGTCATAAAACTATCAGTGAACCAGAAGTCTGGAAGGCAGAGACAGGATAAACATCTCTACAAGGTGTCAGGTCACCTTTGCTCACCATGATACTTTCCTATCTTGTCAGTGTAAAAAGACAAGATACTGCCTACTCTGATGCTTCCTGACAACTTCTACCTTACCACAAGCCACATAAGACACAAACATTGCCTAGAAGAAGTCTAGAGGTAGAACAGAAGACATCGTGCAGGTGTACTGGCAGCACAATGGGAGGATTGTGTGGTGCTCCCTCACATTTTTCCAAATTGTAGACAGCATAAGTAATTCCTCACTTTGAGAAGGATCCAATACATACTAAGTATATTGTAATCATTTTTAAAAATCATCCGTATTTCAGTAATGCCATCTGCTTTTTCCCCCCCTTACATTCTCGTTACTGCATTTTTAGAAAGAGAAGGGAAGTGACAAGGAATCACAGATCTAACACTGTTTTCCCTTCCATGCTCACCACAAATGATAGTGTAGTTTCATGCATAACAGTAGCTCCATATGGAAATACTATAACGTAAAAGCTTAATTCCCCTCTCCCATACCCAACAAAGATGCCATAAAAGTGCAACATTGCCTCAGATCCCACTTACTCCTCGCAGCCGGCACGTCATTAACACCTCGGGCCTGCAGCAGCCCTACATACCACCACTACACTTGGTTACGTCTGCCTTTCACGCAACAAGTCTCGCTCACTGCAGCAGCATGGTTGAAGCTCATACAGAGATTTCCCCACTTCCCGGTCCATTCCCAGGCTGGAGCTAACAACATTCTCATCAGCCAGCTAATTCCAGCACTGCCAGTGGGAACTACTGCACGTGGCATTGCACTGGCCCAGTCCCCAGCATTCAGAGGACAGCCAATAGACCCACTGGAGCGAGTCCAGAGGAGGCCACAAAGATGCTCCGAGGGCTGGAGCACCTCTGCTACGGGGACAGGCTGAGAGAGTTGGGCTTGTTCAGCCTGGAGAAGAGAAGGCTCTGGGGAGACCTTATTGCAGCCTTCCAGTGCCTGAAGGGGTTACAAGGAAGCTGGAGGGGGACTTTTTACAAGGGCCTGTAGTGACAGGACAAGGGATAATGGCTTTCAGCTAGAAAAACACAGATTTAGATTAGATATTAGGAATAAATTCCAAAGAGTCTGCAAAAAGTGACTGAGGGGGGAAAAAAAAAATCTTCTAGTTTATCCTTTAAATCACACAGCGCTAGCTCTGGTGCAAGGGAGAGAGAAGGAATTCACAGCCCTGAAATGGGAGAAGGGAAGACAGGACAACGGCTTCTGGTGGTGGCAGCCTGAACCCATATCATCAGCTTGGAGCAAGCATGAAACATCGGAGAGCCCAGGAGAGTATATTTAGCCTGCCATGCAGAAATCTACATACATGACATTTCTACGAATATAAGAGATGGAAATTGCGTAGGAGAAAATAAAACAGAAGTGAAAGTGGCATTCTGAAGTATAAACAATTACGTTTCCTGTTCGTGCTAGTGCAGCCTGTGTAATGTAGAAACACTCACTACAGTTATGCTGAAATTCTATTAAGTTTTAGGGTTTTACGTCCTAGCTACCAAGCTAGATCCCCTTTTATTCTGTTTTCCTTCTTTTTTTAAAACAAAACAAAACAAACAAAACCAAACTTTCCCCAATAAATATTTAGCTAGCACAAAATCCCTTCACTCTGTGCTACTGAGCACAGCTCTGTTCAACAGACTTGACCCTGGCTGTTGGGGACAAACTGGGCAGTCCCCTTCCAGAGAGAGGAAGAAGAGGGAGTGGATCAGGGGTCCAGGCTTTGTTTGAAAACCCCAACCTTTGGGCTGCTGTGTGGGAGAAGCACTATTCCTCCCTGAAGTTATTCCATTCCTCCCAAATTATTTTAACACACACCCCATAATTCAAAATACACTTGCAAATAAATCAGATTGAGCCAAAATGTGCTCTTAAAGCAAATTCATTAGTCATCAAGCAAACAATTCATCTCTCATGAAAACTACCTTGGAACAGCTCTTGCTGCCCATGCCAAGTACTGCTTTCCAGGCACTGCCATCCCGGTGCTCCCATGTGCCTCCCCATCAGCTTGAAGAGAAGCTTTGCCAAACCATGTCGTTGGGGGGAGATGGGAGCCATACGTGAGTAGGTGTGCATAGGGGGCTTTCAGCTTCCCTCCTGGGGACACAGGAAGAAAGAAGCAGGGAACTAGTGCCTTGGGCTGGGAGATCAGGAGTGTGAAGTATGAACGTGGCATGGGGATGGCATCCTAGCTTGGGGACATGACTTGCATGTCACAGGAGAGGACAGGTAGCCCAGAAGAAGGTTTTGGAATAGGACTGCTAGGACCCAAATCTGAATACACCACAGATAATCTAGTCTGAAATTGGGAAAAATTATAAAGGAGTTTAATATACAGTATTAAAGGAGTTAATACTGTGGTATCTAAAACCACTAGAAATGCAGGGAGTATCACAAGGGTGTTAAAAGAATGGGAGGATTAGAATTAAGTGACCAGCAAGTAATTTAAAACAACCAGAAGGAAATACTTCTTTTACAATCCACACGACCAGCTCATGGTACTATATGCCAAAGAATCAAATATTTCACCTGGATTTTTAAAAGCAGTAGTTAATTCAGTGACTGATAGTACTATGCAAGGCCTATATCTGGGTTTAAATTAGTATTGCTTCAACTGAACAATTATTTTTAAACAAGTTGAGAATCTCTGCCATTATTTAAAGCTAAGCATGAAAAGATATTTATGATAATATTTCAATGTATGAGCACAAACTGATTTTTTAAAAGGTTTAGAAAGAAACTCCCCAGCAACATAATACAAGCGAAGTGTACTTCAATGTATGAGCACAAACTGATTTTTTAAAAGGTTTAGAAAGAAACTCCCCAGCAACATAATACACAATAAGCAAAGTGTACTAATGAAGGCACATTTTGGTCTCCGTGGGAAAGATGAAGCTGTATCTTACTGTGAGATGCTGACTTAGTTCTT